GTATCTCAGATGACCTTTTTTATTATGGATAAAAAATTAATAATAAAAGAATGAGAACACTTGGGACCAGCAGTTGGTGTAATGGCTATGTCACTGGACTCCCATGTAGTCGACCAGGGTTCGAGGCCCGGACCTGGTGGCTTAAACTCACAACGGACGTGTGTGCATGCAATCCTAAGATCCGGAAAGGAGAATGGAGAAGAAGGGATTGTGGCATGGCCATCCTCCCTGGGGGATGATTTCTCACTTTCTATCTGTCTGTCTGTCTCTCTCTCTCTCTGGTGAGTGTACTGCCCTATAGCAAAAATCTCTCCAAAAAAAGAAAAAATCAGAACAGAAATTAATATTAGGCAGGACTTCTGTTTCCATCTGTGACAGAGAAATCAGTACCTGGGCTTGTCAATGGTAGAAAACAACTCCAAAAAGGACATAAGACCTGAGGGATGAGTTTTCAGGCATTAAAGAACTGGTGGTCTAGGATGGTGATTTCTGAACGATGAGAATACAAAAGGTGAGCTTCCCAATTGTCTCCTGATTGTCAAAGACTTCTGCCTGCGGCAATTTTTAGGCCATAGAGCAGAGATAGAGCCCCCAAATAGTAGCAGTGCCAATAGTTCAGACTTCTAAAGTGGCTGAGTACTTGAGAAAAGAGAGTTGAGCAGCAAGGCTGCCTGAGTGGTGGACTGCACATGCACATGAGACCTCTTGGGGCCTGATGACTTAAGGCAGCGCTGAGAGCTGAATAGTTTACTCTAGGGCAGGTGTCTGCAATTCTGGGGCCATGGACGGGTTCCACTTTGGGTCCTGTAAGAAACCCAGTGCACAGCAGGATGTGAGCAGAGCTCCAGCTAGGGAAGCTCCAGGTGTGTTTACAGCTGTTCCCCGTGGCTTGCATTGTCACCTGAGCCCCACCTCCTGTCAGATCAGCCAGGACATTAGATTCTCATAGGAGAATGTGAACTGCACATGCAGGAGCTCTAGGTTGGGTGCTTCTTTTTTTTTTTTAGGAGAGGTTTTCGCTATAGGGCACGTGCACTCGCCAGACAGACAGAGACATAGACAGAAAGCGAGAAATCACCCCCCAGGAGGGATGGTCATGCCGCAATCCCTTCTCCTCCATTCTCCTCTAGGAATCTTGGGCACACACGCACATGCACCCGGCATGAGTTTTAAGCCACCGGGTCCGGGACATGAACCGTGGTCGACTACGTGGGTGTCCAGCGACATAGCCATTACGCTAACTGCTGGTCCCTAGGTTGGGTGCTTCTTATGAGAATCTAATGTCTGTAGACCTGAGGTGGAGCTCAGGCAGTGATGGTAGCCCTGGGGAGTGGCGGCAAATACTAAATTACTGAGTCATATAATTATTTCACTACATATTACAATGTAATGATACTAGAAATAGAGTGTACAATAAATGTAATGAGTGTGAGTTATCCCCAAATCATCGCCCCTCCCTGATCTGTGGAAAAACTGTCTTCCATAAAACCAGTCCCTGATGCTAAGAAGGTTAGGGAACCACCGTTTTAGAGGCTACATAATTTGAGGATGCTATGTAATTCCAAGATGCTACGTAATTTCAGGGACACGTTGAAGTTCCAACCCAGAGTGAATAGGTGCAACTAGTCACCTACAAAAATCAAATTAGACCATAATAAAAATCCAAATTAGGCAAATCACAAATTCTCCTGTGATTTTGGCCACACAGGCTCATGTGCCCAGCATGATTTTCAAGCCACCATGTTTGGGACTTCAACCATGGTGGGCCAAGTGGAAATAGAGCAGCTAAACCACCACACTACCTGCTGGCCACCAAATTAATCATTAATTAAAAGTGAAAGCATAATTTTATAGTGGGGAGATAAAACGAACTCCACTATACCAGATGTTCAAAGTAAGCACCATGGCTATTAGTATAAATCAATATTGTGTCTCTCTCTCTTTCTCTCTCTCTCTCTCTCTTTTTTTTTTTTTTTTTTTTTTTTTTGGGGGTTTTTTTTATAGGGGGGGCTCCCCCTATAGGGCGTGCTCACCAGACAGAGATAGAGAGTAAGAAATCACTCCCTGGGGGGATGGCCACGCCGCAATCCCTTTTCCTCCATTCTCCTCTTAGAATCTTGGGCACGCATGCACACATGCCCAGCATGAGTTTAAGCCACCAGGTCTGGGACTCAAACCATGGTCAACTATATGGGAATCCAGCGACATAGCCATTATGCTGACTGCTGGTCCCAATATTGTGTCTCTTGATATGATGTGCTGAGAATGTATATTTTTAGTTTTATTTTAGTATTCCTGCTAAAACGCACAACTTAATCATTAGGATAACTCAGACCCAAATTCAAGTGTTCTTTCTATAATAACTGACTTGTCCTCATCGCACACATTGAGGCTAAGAAAGAAAAAGAATGGAGAACTCTCGCAGATGGAGTGACGACAGATTAGTGGCAACTAAATGCAATGTGTGATCCTGGTTTGGATCCTGACCCAGGAGAAACATAAAGACCATAATTAGGGTAATTGGTAAAATTAAATATGGACTGTAGGTTAGATAACAGGACACTAATGCTATATAGCCTGGCTTTGTGATTTAACTGAGGTTACTTGGAAGTGTTTGTTGATTACATGGCAGGGGTCTCCAATTTACCTTCACATTGTTCTGAAAATGTGTGTGTGTGTGTGTGTGTGTGTGTGTGTGTGTGTGTATAGATATATATACATATATGTGTGTATGTATACACATATGCATATAAGGAGCAAATAGGAAAAATATAAACTTTTATAAATTGGATTAAAGAGTAGTTGGGAGATACTTGCTATCTTTTCAAATTTTCTGTAAGTTTGAAGATATTTATAAATAAAAACATTATAGAAAATAAAGTAGTGTTAAGAAAATCAGGAAGACGGGACCAGCAGTTAGCGTAATGACTATGTTGCTGAACTCCCATGCAACCAACCGCGGTTCGAGTCCCAGACCCAGTGGCTTAAACTCACGCCGGGTGCGTGCCCAAGATCCCAAGAGGAGAATGGAGGAGAAAGGATTGTGGCGTGGCCATTCCCCCGGAGGGGGGGTGATTTCTTGCTTTCTGTCTCTCTGTCTCTGTCTTTCTGGCAAGCACATGTGCCCTATAGCAAAAATCTCTCAAAAAAGAAAAAGAAAATCAGGAAGAACTACTAACTTGGAAAACAGAACATTTCAGATAATAAAGTTCTACCTCTTACTAGTTTTAAAAACGAAGAAAAATTACAAATAAATGCAGCTTTGCTAAAAGGAAACTAATAACCACATGAGACTAATAACTTCTCTGGTTTGGGACTGTCAATGAAATGGTTAATTCCCTAAGAGAAAATTATCAAAATTAACTAACGAAGTAGAAAACCTGAATAGACCATTAACTACCAAATAAAGTCATCAACTAACATCCTCCAATTTTGTCTCCTGGGATAGATACTGCTGAATTCTATCAAATTTTAATGAACTGATAATGCCCAAAGAAACTATCCCAACCATATGAAATGATAGAAGTTATTTCATGAAGCTAATATATCACTGATAATGAAGCTTCCAAAAATGAGAAAAGAGAGCTGTAGTTCACACTCCCTGTGAATATAGATGTACAAAAGTTTAAAATACTAGCAAGCTAAATTCAGTAATATAAAAGTTATATCATGTACTTGAAGATGAAGATCTCACAGCAGTTTAAGAATGTTTCAGGGCCAGCCAACGGCATGTTGGTTAAGGTGGCTAGATCCCACATGACTGACTACATGGACAAATCCCAGACCAGCGGTTGGAAAACATGCCAGGCATGTGTGCATGCATGCCCAAAATCCCAAGAGGAGGCTCAAGAAGGAATTGTAATGTGGCCACTCCCTGCACTAGGGGTGCTTTCTCTTTCTCTAACAAGTGCATATCCCCTACAGTAATTAAAAAAAAAAAAAAAAAAGAGTTTTGGTGTAACAATCTATTAATTAACCAAATCACTGAAAAGGATTATAATAAACTGATAGATACTGAAAATAATTAAGTTAAGGGCCTATTTCTAATGCAAATTATTACTTTAACATGGTAAAGATAACCTATTAAATTAACACAGGAAACAATGGAATTTTTTTCCATTCAGATCGAGGGCAGGTCAATAATATCTACTCTACTCATATGTGACACACATTATGTTCAGTATAGTGGACTCCTTTTCCAAGTCTGTATCCTATCTTCCTAAATGTGCATGATTCATAGAATAGACTCAAAAATCTATACTGAATGAATACATGAGTAGAATGGTGAGATCGTAATTTTAGAAATTTGATTTTAGGATCTTAAAAGAAATTAAGTTATAGTCTTTCAAATGATGTCTTTTTAAATGAGTCAGAATTTATGCTTATAAACATAATGATCAATGGACAAATTATAGCATGTGGACAGGTGGGAAGTGGTTTGATTGATGATACCGCTATAGACAAAGGCGATCATTTTCTTCCTGATGACATACCCATCCAGTGCTGGCATTAATTGCACCATGGAATGCCAGGAATTGTCATCTGTTCAGAGGACTATGCTGCTTTTGTCACCCGGCACTTACGGGAAATCATGGAATAGGAAATTACAAGTTGTCCCTTCTCACCACAGTGATGTGAAATTCAAACAACTTATGACCTCTTGTTCTGTTTTCCCTACTGATACGTTAAAATAAAACTTTCCAAGGAAACCTATCTTCAAAACTATACAAAACATCAAAGGAAATATATGATTTACATGGTACAGATTTATTTACCTGTGTTTCTTTCTTCTTCTTCTTCTTCCTTTTTTTTTTTTTTTTGAGAGATTTTTGCTATAGGGTACGTGCAATCACCAGAGAGACAGAAAGTGAGAAATCACCCTCTTGAGGGAATTCCTTCTCCTCCATTCTCCTCTCAGGATTTTGGTAATGCACACACATACGTTCAGCATGAGGTTCAAGCCACCAGGTCTGAGACTTGAACCAGTCAGTCTTGTGAGAAAAAATATGGAACACTTCATGAATTTGCATGTCATCCTTGTGCAGGAGCCATGATAATCTTTGCTATATCATTCCAGTTTTAGTATATGTGCTGCTGAAGCAAGCATTTAACTGTGTTTCTATGATTTAAAAGAAAAAAAAAAGAAAAAATAGCTAAAATTTGTTTTTCTCTAGCATAGAGAAAAACATGTACAAATGACCTCTCTAGGTACTGGTCTACATGGTAATCTGGTCCTCATAGGCTGCTGAATTTTCCAACACAAAGATAACTGAATTACTTCCTTCATTTTATGTTTTTTTTTTCTTTCTTTCTTTTCTTTTCTCCTCTCCGGTCCTCTCTTTTTTTTCTTTCTATGTCAGAAGATGTATGCACATGTAGAAGAGAGAGAGAGAGAAAGAAATCATCAATGGCTTGGTTTCATTGTGATCCCTTTTCCTCCTCCGATTCTCTGTTTTGTTAGGATCTTGGGCACATGCAGGCATACTGAGTGTATTTTTCAAGCTGTGGTGTTGTGACTCAAACCTTATGCTAGCCATATAGGATCTGGCCTCCTCTGCACTTAACCACCGTGCTCCTGGACTGGTCCCCAGACAATAGTTGAGTTTCTAAACTAGATGCTCAATAGTTGGAGTTCATTATTATTTTATTGAGCTATATTTCCCAATTTTCTGACAGGATACTTAGAAGAATCTTAACATCCTGATCTAAAATAGGTTGTAAGAATTATAGTCTAGGGGCCAGCAGGTAGTGGGGGGGATAAGGGCACTGGATTCCCACATGGCCAACCATGGTTCAAGTCCCGGACCTGGTATCTTGCTTTCTCACTTTCCCTTTCTCTCTCTTTCTCTCTCGTCAAATAAAGAAAAAAAAAATTAACAATAACAAATGGAAATAAATAAATAATTATTTTAAACATTTTTAAAAAGAAATATAGTCTAGTCTAGAAAGGAATATAAAATCTGTTTCTAATATTTATTTATTTATTTACAGTCATTCACTGTACATCAATACAGTACACAAAATGAGATTTTCCATCCAGAACACATTGTATATTGGCTTAATCAGGATATAACCACATATCTTATCATTTTTTGTTAATTGTTCCCTTGATTCCCTACCTCTCACCCTATGCCTATTGCTTACCTAATCCCACACTGTCTCTGGTATGCACAGCTCTTTTCCTTGCCCTTTTTTTTCCACATTTAATTGATTCACTAAATATCTTAATTAATTTAAAAACTTTTGATAGCAAGTACAGCTAAGCACAGAAATATATACATGTTTCTGAGCATATGTCTGACTTTAGGCATACACCTCAGTGAGTAAAGTGAACATACTATAAAGTAGCACCTAACTAGGGCTATATAGCTTACTGTAGTCATTAAATAGGTATTAATAGGGATTTTTAATGCATTTTTTATTTTAAGAAAAACAATTTTAGTTTTAATAGATCAAAATAAAAAAAAATATTAAGAAAAATTTGCTCAAAACTTAAAGCCAGGGAAAAGGATTTAGTTTAAATAGTAGGTAGATGAACCTGTCAGCCTTTTAAAAGAAGACAAAATTTTTAAATATGGCAATCAAAGAATCAAAGAAAATCAGTAATGTTTTAGTCTAAAGTAAAGAAAAATATTCGATTTAACTAGTTTAGACTCATGTAATTAATTTCTCTTCTATTGAATTTGCAGTGTTACTGTGGTCTGATCTTTCCATTTAAACTCTGGAAGTTAACATTCAACTCTAGACTTGTCCCTACCACTAGGCTGGCCATTCTTTTGGTTGTTTTTTGTACTCTTATCCCTGTGCATCTGACTTTAGTTTTCCTGGTATAGCACTCCCTTCAGGACTTCCCATAGAGGTGGTCAGGTATTGATAAATTCTTTCAGGTTTTGTTTATCTGAGAATGTTCTTGTCTTCTCTTCCCATATGAAGGATAATTTTGCTGGGTATAGTATTCTTGGTTGAAATTGTTTTTCATTTAACACTTTGAATATATTTTCCCATTCTTTCCTTGCTTGCATTATTTCTAATGAGAGGTCCAACATTAGCCTTATGATATGTCCTTTGAAAGTAACTTGACATTTCTCTCTTGCAAAATTTAGTATCTTTTCTCTGTGGTTTTAGTCAATATGGCTCTGCTGTGCTTGGAGGAAGGTCTTCTTAGATTGATTCTATGTGGGGTCCTTTGTATTTCTCAGGTCTGGATATTTGAATGCCTCTCTAGGTTTGGAAAGTTTTCTTCCAAGATTTTATGGAATAGATTATCAATACCTTTATTAGTTTTTTCACTTTCTGGGATACCGATGATCTGGATGTTTGGGCATTTAATGATATCTAGAATTATTCATATGTTATTCTCTTTTTTTTGGAGAGGTTTTCGCTATAGGGCACGTGCACTCACTGGACAGACAGAGACAGAGAGACAGAAAGCGAGAAATCCCTCACCCCAGGGGAGACAACCACGCCACAATCCCTTCTCCTCCATTCTCTTCTTGGGATCCTGGGCACACATGCACACGTGCCTGGCGTGAGTTTTAAGCCACCGGGTCCAGGATGCGAACCGTGGTCAACTACGTGGGAGTCCAGCAACATAGCCATTACTCTAACTGCTGGTCCCTGTTATTCTCATTTTTTTTCATTATTTTCTGAGTCTTTTTGATGAATTTTTCTAGGTCAGAGGTTCTATATTTACATCTGAGAGTCAATCTTTTGCATGATCTAATCTCCTTTTGATATGGTCCAGGAAAGTTTTGATTTCCTGTATCTCCTCTTTCAGATTGTGAAAGGACACCCTCAACTTAGTGTCTCTTTTCTCCTGCATCTTCTGGAGTTCATTGTCTTTATTCTCTTGCATCTCTGTTAGCTTTGTCACTATGAATATTTTAAATTCTTTATCTGACATTTTCATGAGTTCCCTTGTATTCTCTGTGGAGGAAGAGGAGTTATTCTTTTCTCTTAGAGGAGAGAGATTTTCTTGGTATCTCATATTTCTTGTACCTCTGTGGTGGTTTCTGGTCATTTGATGGATCACACATTTTTCCTAATTTTTGGAGTTAAATCTGAACATTGAGATGAATGTAGGGGGAGGTGACCTGCAGTCTGTAAACAGTACTGTTTTTAACCCTTTGCACAGCCGATTCAATGAAAATTGAGGATTAATTTGACCCTAAAAGTATTCAGATATTTGGCTATAGAGCACCTAGACCTGTCTAGAAAATCAGTATGTGGAGTTTGAGCAGAAAAGGAAGGTAAAAAGAAAAGGAAAAGGGATAGGAAAAAAAAAAAAAAAACAGCAGCAACAACAACAAAAACAGAGAAGAGAAAAAAAGACAAAAACAATAAAAAAGAAAAAAATTGTCAAAAAATTAATACCGCAGGGACCAGCAGTTAGCGTAATGGCTATGTCACTGGACTCCCACGTAGTCAACCGTGGTTCGAATCCTGGACCTGGTGGCTTAAACTCACTCCGGGCGTGTGTGCGTGTGTGCCCAAGATCCCGAGACGAGAATGAAGGAGAAGGAATTGTGGCATGGCCATCCCCCCTGGGGGGGGATTTCTTGCTTTCTATCTCTCTGTCTCTCTCTGTCTGTCTGGCGAGCGCACGCGCCCTTTAGCAAAACCTCTCAAAAAAAAAATTAATACTGCGCAGCACGCTAGCACACCAAGTGAATGGGTCCACTCAGAACTCAAATATAGATGGCTACTGATTGGCTTGTCCTATGGGGGAGGGGGGAAGGTAGGAATTAGGAAGACAAAAGAGAGGCAGTGAGCTGAGAAGTTTAAAAAAAAAATTTTAATTAAAAATAGAGATGTAGAAAGACAGAGAAAATATGTAGGGTGCTCTAGTCTGACTCCTGACTAGATCTCGGGGGCAGGAGGGTGAAGTCTGGGCAGATGGTCTTTGGTAGGCATAATCCTGTTTCTAATATAATTTTAAAGTCATTTATTATTATTGTTATTATTTTAGGTTTACACTAGGGCATGTGTACTCACGAGAGAGACAGAGACAGAGAGAGAGAGAGAGAGAGGGAAAGTGAGAAAGCACGCCACCAGGTCTGGGACTCAAACCATGGTAGGCCATGTGGGAGTCTAGTGCCCCAACTAGCCCAGAGTGCCACCTACTAGCCCCTCTGATATAATTTTAAAACTGAATTAGTGATTGGATAGAATATCATCTTGCTGGTTTGATGACAAAATTATGACAGAAAAATTCTCTGTCCTTGAAAGCACTAGAAATCCATATTAGCCTGTTAAATTAAACCATATAAAGAAGCATATTCATCTTGATGCTTTCTTAAAATTTGCCATTTTTTTTAGTTCTTTGAAAGCTAAAAATAATTTAAAGTCTTTTTAAAAAATTATTACATAAGTTTCTTGCTAGGAAATATAAAATTAGCTTTCAGGTCAGTAGGTGATGTGGTAGTTAAGGCTCTGGACTCCTACATGGCCAACTGCAGTTCAAGTCCCAGACCTGGCAGCTTGAAAATCACACCAGCTGTCTTTGTATGCATACCCAAAATCCTGAGAGGAGAATGGAGGAGAATGGATTGTGGCAAAGTCATCTCCCCAGAAGAATGATTTCTCTGTTTCTCTCCAGTGAGAGCATGTGCACTAATGGCAAAAACCTAAAAAAAAAAAAAAAAAAAAAAAAAGTTATTTATTTTAGTAGTCTCATATACCCTAACATTATTTCTATATTAACATAGTATAGAAATAACAGTAAAAATCTGTGTGTGTTCATCTCATTGACTGTGAAGGACATAGTGTTGATTATGTCCATTTAAACAACATGTCAGTTGTGATAACTGTAAGAATGTATCCATATGGCCAGCTCTACAGCCTAGTGGTCAAGGGAGCCAGATCCTACATAGCTGAGTATGGTTCAAATCTTGGCCCATTGACTTGAAAAACACTCCAGGCATGTATGAATACCTTTCCGAAGTCCCAACAGAATGCAGAAATGGAGAAGTGATTGCAGTGTGACTTCACCCCATGGGACACAAAGCCCCTTATCTCTCCCTATCTCTTTCGGTCTCTCCAGTGAGCACATGCACCACTTGGAAATAGAAAAAAAAGAGCAAAGAATGCATCCATAAAGAAAA